TATCTATATTGATAATACAGAACTAGTGATGTTAACACAGCTTGAAACCACTAGGTAGCAGCAGTTAGTCAAGTAACTGCCAAAGGGGAGAGTGAAGAGTTGATAGTACAGAACCAGAGATGTTAACACAGCTTGAGACCACTAGGTAGCGGCAGTTAGTCAAGTAATTGCCAAGTGGAGACAGAAAAGCATATTTTAGGCAAATAAAATTTAAAAATCTCAACTGCTGTTCAATTGGGCTACAGTGATTTGGAGGTCTGCTTCATCCTACAGAGGTTCAACCCATCTTCTACAATTTCCAAAGAAGATGAATAGCCCTGTGGCATTATTGGGTTTCTAAAGTCTGCAAGGCACAGCTGAATATCTTTTTAGTAGTTGAATCTGTTCTTTGATGGTGACAAGGAAGATTTGGTGCTGGGAAATGGAATGCCCAAGAACAGAACACTCCTGTTGTTCTAAGAATGTTGGCAAACCTCTTCAGTGTTTCTCTGTGGAGCAGCCTTTCAGCAAAACTCTTGCAAAAGACTGTTTGACTTAACAGGCCTGCCCAGGGGAGTCTGAGAATCAAAAGTTGGATCTTAGTAGCCAAAAATCAAACAACAAAATCACTTTGTTGGGTGTTATTGTAACGCTGCATGGGCGACAGTTTATGGGAGGACTTGGGAGAACAGAGCAAAACAAGGCAGTAGCATCAGAAATCATTGTGAGCAAAAGCTCTTACGATTTTGACCAGGAACCTGATCTGAGAAGCCATGAAAATGCAGGTTGGTCTGTGGTTTCCATTCTTGGCATCACTCAACTTGAAAGAAGAAAAAATAACACATTTCTATCCCACTTCAGCTTCAGAGCTGACTTGTCCTGACATCTCATTTGTCTTTACTTAAGGTTGTAGCTTTTTGCAACAGGTTTAAAAACCATGTCGGTTGTCTTATTTGCTCATTCACTTGGCTCTGGTTTCAAGCCATGTTTTGATGGAGGACAGCCAAAGGTGATTTCTGCTCTGTCGTCATTGCCTCTTTGATGTGACTTCTGTCACTCTTTCCATACTGTTTGGGAACAGCGCATCCTATTATTGGAGGCCAGGCCACCATTAAAGTCTCTGATCAGACTGATGCTTGAAAGAGCAGGAAATACTGGAGATTTCCACTTGGTTTTATAGAAGATCCTTGAGCAAGTCTGGCTTACCCAGAGATGTTTGGGGCTCCCAACTTCAGCATTCCTGTGCTCAGGTAGATATATACTTACTGTCTGTAGTTCGGGACTCATGCTGTTGCCATAGACAGCAAGAGGACCTCTTCTCGTTTTCTTTCCATTAGGAACTGTTTAATGTGACTTCTCCAAAGACTGAAGAGCCTGTGTGATGCCGAGGCAGAGTGTTGCACTAAGACCTGGGAAATCTGCGGTCAAACCCCTACCAAGACCAGAAACTTGGGCCAGCCATTCTCTTCCAGGCTGACCTACTTCACAGGATAAAATGGAAATAGGGAAGGATTAGAGGGTTACTCTTTCTTCTTAAACAGCACAGCTTCTAGGGAAGGTCAGTCTTGGGCATCTGTCAGCACAGAAATTGTACTAAATACATTTTAAAAGCAACTTACAAAACATAACAATTAGATTTTAAACTTTATTAGCGGTCTTTATGTTTTTAATTGCTGCAACATTTTTAACCACCTTGGGGTTGGAGACCCCGAGCAAGGCAAGGTTATTAAGCCAAAAGGGATTTCTGTGCTGACAGATGGCCTCCAATCCTTGGCATGTGACAGAAAACGGTCTAGCGAATCAGTGGTCAACCCGCAGGGCTCTTTTTGTAGCAGGTACTCATTTGCATATTAAGCGACACACCCCTAATGTAGCCAATCCTCCAAGAGCTTACAGTAGCTCCTGTAAGAAGAGCTCTGTAAGCTCTTGGAGGATTGGCTACATTAGGGGTGTGTGGCCTAATATGCAAAGGAGTTCCTGCTACAAAAAGAGCTGTGTCAGAGAACTATGAGAATGCTCAGGAATCCCATTGTATTGGGCACTGTATGGGGGCTGGTGCTGCTGGTTCGATTTTTCTGTATCAAGAGCCAGTCTCTTAGGCCTCCCTGAGCACTGTGTGCAGAGCACCACATTCATGCCAAAGAGGCGTTTTTCTGAAAGGCTGCCCGTGTTGTAAAGCAGCCCCTCCTTGTGGGCCCTTTGGAACTGCAGCCAGCCAACAAATATGGAACCCTGGTAAGGCGCCGTGAGGTCTCCAGCCAGGAGGGCACACCCTCTCAGCCTCAGGGCGGATGCAGCAAAGAAGGGGAACCAGTTCTGTGTGTGGTTGGCAGGATGCTTCCCTCACCTGTCTGCATACGTGCAGGCAGGTGGCATTCTTCTCAAAAAAGCCACAGTTCCCTTCCACAGTAATGTCAGTACTACATCTTTCGCTTCTGCTCTCTTTCCACAGGGGGATTAAGTTACTGCCAACCCTTTTTTGCTTTGACTCCAGACTCGAGAAGGAAAGCAATGACTGCGCTGCATTCCCCTGCAGGGAATATGGGGGACACGCCCTTTGGCAGAGTGCTGCTTCCAGTCTCAGAACTGCCTGGCTAGAGAAGACCCACAGAAAGGTCCCACATTCTGTTTCCATGGGCAGCCAAGCAAATGCCTCTGGAAACCCACAAGCCCGGCATAGCTCTGCCCTCAGCATCTGGCATTCAGTCTTTGAACCTGCACGTTCCACTTACCGATCAATGCAAAGAGCCATCTCTGCATCCATCCTCCATGAACCTGTCCAGTCCTTTTCAAACATATCCAAACTACCAACCATCATCCCATTTTGGGGCACTGAAACTCATCAGTTACTTATGTGTTGGGCAAGCCAGCCATTTCTATCCATGCAGCGACAAAAATTACGTCTCCAAATGATCCCCAAGGCCCAGTATCCAAGGGGGAAACCAGTGCTGGAGCTTCCAGTGGGAATTTAACACCCGACTACTTCTGGTCAAACCGAATACCACAGTTGTTCCAGCAGGAAACTGAAAAACTGAACCCATCTATGGCAAAGCGATCTGCTTGGACGTGCTCCCAACCTTCCAGCTCTTACAAAAGCTCTTTTAAAACAGTCTACATTTTTAATTTGTACACAGGGCTAGCTGCACGCAGTCTTAAGCAATAACTTGACTTGCCCAAATACATTGCAGCTCTGATTTCTGTGTTGCTTTTCTGCCTCAAAAGTTTTCCAGGGGCTCCCCTCCCTTTCCCTCCCTACCCACTGCAAGGAATACTCCATGTTCAGAAAAAGAAGAGAGTCAGTTGCTGCTTAAGGGCAGCCTGGGAAAAGTTAACCAACCATTTATTGATTTACACAGAGAGAGACCTGAGCAGGTTCAAGTCTTTGGGGGTGGGGGTGGAAACCACTGCAGGTCATGGCTATCACTGCCGAGTGGGGGTGCAGCTCTGTGGATGGATCTTGAAAGATAATGGAAGTCAACACTTGCACAAAGACAGGCACCCCCCAAAACCTAGACCAGTGGTGGCGAACCTATGGCACGGGTGCCAGAGGTGGCACTCAGAGCCCTCTCTGTGGGCACGTGTGCCATCGCCCCAGCCAGGCCTAGAGCATCATTAAAGTGTCGAATTCTCTGCCAAATAATTTTAAGGAAATGAAAGCATTTGGGATTGCTTTCCTTACTTTGTTTGGATCATCTTAAGTTGTTTTTTCTAAAGTAAAACCTCAGTATTCAGGTTAAATTGCCGTGTTGGCACTTTGCGATAAATAAGTGGGTTTTGGGTCACAGTTTGGGCACTCCGTCTCTAAAAGGTTCGCCATCACTGACCTGGACCCTTCCCCACTTTTATTTAAACCTTTATGCCTGACGCCCAAGGTGATGTCATTAGGGATGTGCAACATCGCCTCTTGAATGTTCAACCTTCTCATTCTCTCTGAAGAGCAGTTTTGAGACTTATGTGAACTTCAGCAGCTATCTAGAGAGGTATCCATGTGTGTTGGGGGTGGGTGTGTGAGCAGGGGATGGGAATGATCTGCCCTACACCTAGATCCCCAGCCTTCTCAAGTTTGTGGATATGTTTGGAATTTTGAGGTGGGGACTGAGTGCTGCCACAATATGGTTGCCATGGAAGGCATTATGAAATCGCTGTCCCGGGGCACTGCGGCTAGGCACCCAAGCACTGGGAGGTTCCAAGCCAGGCATGATCCTGCCACAGAGGCTGCTGTTTCTAAATGGGAGCTTTCTGCAGTCACAAGGTGATGCCTCCCAGGTCTTTCTCCTGCTCCAGTGCCTCCTGCTCCAGTGAAGTGGAAGAAAACCAGAACTGGCTCTTTGCTTTGGGCAGGAATCAAATGGGTGCCAAGAAACCCACTGGCAGATGCCCTGAAGCCCGGGAGTGCTATGGCAGGGATCCCGGCCCTACACGCTTCTTCTCAGGGAGTGAGAGAAGAGAAAGATGGATGTTCAAATCCCGGGGACGGCTTATGGAACAATTGAATTTATAACAGATGCATGGCTAACTAACGAAAAACAGCAGCGAACATGCCTTTCCTCTGGTAACACCTCATAATACCATGCTGCACGGTCCCTAACCCTGCCAACGAGGGAACTGGGAAGTGGAGTTAAGTTGCAGCCTGGTGGTGATGCTATGTCGAGTGTTTCCTATTATTAGTTATTCAAAGGAGAATGGAGACACAGAGCTGCTTGTTTTTGATGACAGTCACCCATCTCTCATAAGGTCTAGATTCAGCCACGGAAGAGCCAAAGCAACAAAAGAGGAACTGCACAGGGTTCGGGTTGTTAAGGAGAGCCCTTGGGTCCCAAGGCTTATGTATAAACATAGAAATTGCCCTCCTCGGTTGGACTCGAATACTCTTCTAACACAACACCCTGTTTCCAACAGTGGCCAATCAGAAGCCTCTGGGAGCCTTGGAAGCAGGGTGGGAAGGTGACATTTCCCTTCAGCTGTTTGTCTTCAGCATCTAGTATTCAGAGACGTTGTTCCTCTGAATATGGAGGCTAGAATCCAACTGCAGAGCTGTCCTCTTCCATGAATGGGCCTAAAGGCAGCTGTTCCCCACTATGGCATGGACTATCAACTGTTAATTAAACACTAAGTGAAGAAATGGTCGTCCCGGTTTCACTTACTCTCTGCTCGTGGCAGACGTTGTGGTCTGGGCTTGATCTGCGGGGGCCCAGACTGGATGACCTTTGGGCTTCTAAAACATATCACAATGGGGGAGGCTGGTCAGGCTGTGGGCCCAATGGTGGGGTGCAGAAGCTTCCTCTTCTGCTGTACAAACCGTAGATCTGCCTGAGAGGGGGAGCAGGGCAAATGTTTTGTATGGAGGACATTCCCCCTCATCACACCCCCTTGTTTTTTTTTTCAGATTTACATGTGATTTACAGTCTAGGTTCCACAGAGAAGCTTCACCCTGGGGACTGATGGTCCATCACGGATTCCAGCCTCTCTGCAGCATCTTCCAGTTCCTCCAGGAGCTCAGTGAATGATGGCCGCTTGAATGCTTCCAGCTGATGGAAAGCAGTAGGGAAAAGAAAGGAAACTGTAAGCAGACGCTCAGTTTAGGAGATTTATAAATAGGAGAGAGGCTGTGGTTCAGTGGGAGAACATCTGCTTGAGAAGGTCTCGGTTTCAGTCCCCACTCAGCATCTCCAGCTTAAAGGATCAGATTGTAGGTGATGTGAATGACTTCTGCTTTGAGACCCTGGAGAACTGCTGCAAGTCTGAGTGGATAACAGTGACCCAGAGAGACCCAATGGCCGCGTTCAGTATAAGACAGCTTCATGTGTATACATGGGGATGGCAACCACAACGCTAAATCCTAGCACAAGTCAGCCTCAGTTGACCCATCTCGTGCTCTGCCCGCCGACAACTGCACCACTACAACCAGGGCTTCCTGCTCACATTCCACCTTTGTTGATCCCATTTTTATCCTGCTCTTCTTCAGGATATCTGTGTTTTAAACTGTTCTACAGTCTCTTTTTGATTTCATGCATGGGTTCTTTGGAAAAATCAAGGCATTCCTATAGTTATTCTCTGCCATTCCTTTTAGCATCCCCCTTTTTGGAGGCGTTGTTGCATTTTGTTTCTCCTAGTTTGTCAGGCACCTTGAAGGTTTGAAATAGATCCTCCTCCTTGTTAACTGTCTCTGACTGTAAAGTGGGTGGCTGATGCCAATCATGATGGCAGAACCACCAGGCCACCCACAGAAGGGATGGGTTCCTGCATTCTCAGGGGACTCCCCAGGCGTGCTGAAAAATAGGATTCATGATCTAATGATGAGAAGAGTGGAGAGCAAGGTAGATTGGCTTGCTGAAGCCCTTTCAAGCCCCTAAGAACTTAAACTAATGTTGAAGGGGGGAGATTTGGGCCTTTTCCACAAGGCAACACTTCCGTCTGAAGTCATGCTGTCACCATTGCTGTCGATGCAGCACAGTGGCAACGGTACTTCCTCACAGTGGGTTTCCGTACATTTCCCTGGGGCAGCCATTCCCCTGCCCCAGTACACAGGGGGCTTTTTCCAAGGCTCTTAAAATACTCCATAACTGATGTAGCAACATACTGTTATATGAGTATATTCCTATACCAATTCCCATGTTTTTCAAAAACTAAAAAAAAAAAAGAATGGAAGGGGACAGGTGCGATGAAGTTTAAGACAAGGGCAGTGGCAATCATGTGGGCAGGATCAGAAAAAATCCAGCCATCCTGGCTTTACTGCGGTCTTTTCCAAAACATCACAGCAAAGCAGGCTTGGGGAAGTCTGCAGAAAAGATGAGGAAAACCTGGGTGGTGCACAAAGGCACCGTGATGCTGTGGGAAAGTGGGAAGAAAAACTGCTTCCCAATAGTATTCCATCAGGGCCAAATGGCACACGTGTAAGTGACCGTGGGCTAGTGGTGAGGAGTGCGGACTCTAATCTGGGAGAACCGGGTTTGATTCCCCACTCCTCCACATGCAGTGGCTGGTGTGACCTTGGGTCAGTCACAAGTTCTTTCAGAGCTGTTCTCTCAAGGGCAGTTCTCTCAGAGTTCTCTCAGCCCCACCTACCTCAAAGAGTGTCTCTGTTGTGGGGAGGGGAAGAGAGAGGAGACTGTAAACGCTCTGAGACTCCTTTGGGTAGTGAAGGGCGGGGTATAAATTCAATCTCTTCTCCTCTTCTTCTTCTATTTCCCCCAACCCCCAGCCTACAATTCCTCATTGGCCCCCATTCTGCCAGCCTGTTTAAGTAAAGCAAGCAGAGCAGAGCCATCAACCCGCACCAGAATTTCCCATTTTCATGACTGAAAAAGAAATTTGCAAAAGGGGAGGGGGAGAGGGGACCCAAGACAAACAACCCCATCCAATCCCTTTAAAAAACACTCCTTACTCTACAACAGCTGGCAGCCAAGTCTAAAACTTGCTTGGGGCATCCACCGATCATTTCCTGGAAGGCAGCTACATCCAGGCCATAATCCTGGTGGGAAGCAACAGTGAAAAAGAAGGATTCAGACATATTCCTCCAATGTTAAGGCCACGTAATTGATTGCCCTCCAGCGTGCTGAGCACCAGCTCCTCTAATCCCCCCCTCCCCACATAATCTGGAGCCAAAGTGCTTGGCACAGCTTTCTGTACAGCACCTGACACCCTCCTGGTGCTTAAAACAAGGCAGCGTGTATCAGCCACAGCCCTGGTGGTGCAAATCCCTCTTTTGCTGGCCTGAATGGTGTGTTACAATGACCTGGGTCCGAGGCAGCACCTCTGGATCTGCAGGGATCCTGCCCAGGATCTCACACAGGACAATACCAAAGGAGAAGACGTCCACCTGTTGGAGAGAGTGAAAGTTAGCTAGTGTGGGGTGGGAGGCGAGGCAGGCTTTGGAACCTGGACAGAAAGTCAGGAGAAATCCAGCAGAGACAAAAGGACCGGCAGCCAGGAAACCTGTAACTCTACACCCCTTGCCTCCACTTTGTTTTGTGTTCCGCCTGCACCTGCCTGCTGGTAAGAGAATCAAAAGAGGGGGAAACACAAAGTCTTGGCTGAAAACATAGACAAGGGTGTTTTCCACATGGGAACAGGCATATGTAGCTTCCCTGTGGCTGCTGCTGCTGCTGCTGCTGATACTGTGCAGCGGCAATGAGGCTTCTGCATGGCAGGTAAGGTTCCATAGAGTTTCCCAGCCTTGGTTCCCTGAATAAGGCCATCCTTCCCTGCTTCATCACCAGGGCTTTTCCAAGTTTTCTCCCCTTCAACTGACAAATGAATATTATTATCATTATAACACTCTAAAATCTGTGTATCAAATCTGCTGAACTATCAGCTTTTTTTTTTTTAAGTAAATCTCTAGCCCTTTTCGTTGAAGGGCTATGCCTTTTCCTTTTATATTTCCATTACAAGAGAAGCTAGAGACTTCTTAAAAACAGTGAAATCTGGGGATTCGGAAAACTTGATGCACAAGTTGTTAGAAAGTTATAATGACACTCAAGTGCCGAGTAAATACACAACAGAATCCTAGTGGCAGGGATGGAAATGGCCACCACAGAAACAGGGCCAGAGAAAATAGCTGCTGTATGGGCGGGACAGGGAAAATCCAGGCTTTGCAGCAAAGCAAGTTTCAGAAAGATGAGGAAATAGCTGGGGAAAACCCAGGACGTGCACGAAGAAATGTTGCTGTGAAGAAAAAAGAGAACCCTTGCTTCCTAACAGCATCAAACGTTGGGCAGATAACCTGAGTGGAAAAGCCTTTGACTGACTGTTAGATTCATAAACTGGTTGGGGCATGACCAATACATCACAAATCGCAACTACAAATTGTAACATACACATTATAAATTTTATGTATGTAGTTTGGCCACCCCTCAAAAGAGTAACAGTGGGGGAAATGTGAGGAGGATTCAGCAAGCAAGGTGCATGTTAGCCCTTTCTCCATCTCTGGATTGGGAAATTCCTGGAAATCTGGAGGTGGAGGAGGGTGGAGTTTGGGAAGAGGCAGGAGCTCAGCAGGGATATGATCCCCTATAGTCTGCCTTCCACAGTTGGGGGACTGATCTCTGTGGTCTGGAGACCCCCCGGGGAAAACCGGGACAGGCTCAGCAGAATTGCACCAACATGCAACGTCACTTCCAGTGCTAAAATGCAAGTGATGGTGATGCTCTAGGGTTCACTCAAAAGTCTACACTTAAAAGTTGGGGAGTCCCTCCCCTGCCCCTCTGCTGACCTATGAAGTCGTAGTGAGGAATGGAGGAGGGGACGAGTCAGTGCTGGGAGGTGCCTTGGCCTCATGTTCGGAGAACAGCTGTAATCCTGGATGAACGTCAGGCCCCATGAGGAAGTTGGCAACATCATTTCCCCCACTGGTTCTCCTCTACAAATCTACCCCTCCCTCGGGCCATTCTCATTGCAGGGAAGGCCCCCACCAGGCTCCAAAACCACAAACAAACTCAGATAAGGGGGAAATGCGGCAAGGAGGTATTAAGTACTCTTTCCTCCCAACAAGGACTCAGATAAGTAGGTCAAACTACAGTATTGCCTAAGAAGGTCAGAAGAAGAAAAATCCACAGAGACTATATACTTGATTTGATTACTTAAACACACTACAGCCATCTTGAAGTCCAGAGGCTGAAAGGCAAGATATAAATTTCCTCAATCAATTGATAAAAGCAAGGCTATCATTCATCTAAAGAATGTTTAGATCATTCTCCATCTAACTTTAAACTGATCAGCTTCCGTAGTTTACAACTGATTCATCAGTTTACACACTGAAGCCCACCTGCATGCTCCAAATTTCGCCCAAAGGGTCTTTCCTGAGATGATACATGAATTGGGAGAGAAATACTGTACCTTCCTGTCATAAGGCTCCCCGCGCAACATCTCAGGGGCCATCCAGAAAGCCGAACCCACAAGAGAAAGCTTCCTTTCGGGGCCCTTGGCAGAGAGCTCCACCACTTCTTTGGCTAGGCCAAAATCCGCCACCAAGGCCTCCCGACCCCTTTGGGTCACACGGATGAGGCAGTTCTGAAACGAAGTTTAAACAGATTTCAGTGGTGCATGTGGGAGGGGCGTGTCTCTGTCCTCCCCAGAGCTATTTTGTAGGAAGAATACAGAGGAGTTAAAGTCTAACATAAATGACAATTGCAGATCAATACACTATGTGGGAAATCTCAGCAGTGCTGTATCCAGCCAGGACAGAGGGGTGCAGGGGTGCCTCCTGCCCTCCCACGGATGGTCCCCCACAAGAGGAAGCTGGAGGTGGTGAGTGACAGCAGCTCCCCTAAGTGCCAAGATCTAAACTGGGCAACTGCTGGATCACAGCTTACACTGTTAATACTTGCATCCCACCATGTTGTGTTCCAAAAACAGAGAACCAAAATGGAGGGTGCAGTCGTGAAGTGCTTCTTCTCTGGTTTTCTCACATACCCACTGCCACTGCCCCCCTCCATCCAGAAGTCCTTTCAAACAAGCTAATCACTATCACCAACAGTGGTACATCTCTTAGGTTACCATTTCATTTATCCAACACTTGCCAAACCTATTACACCCTTTGACCTAACAGCAAACTCCATGCTTTTGCCTCATTTCTCTGGTCCCCTAACAGCAAACAGGCACAAATCCTTGTTGATGCCTTGCAAAGTTGAGTTACCCATTAGGTTTGCAAAGCTGCAGGTGTAAACACCCCTGAAGCAACAGATTCGAGACTTCCCAAAAGGCATGAGGCATGCAGAGGCCAAAATCCCATTAGTGTTAATGGCATTATCGAGCATCTGACTCTCCCGTAAGCAATGTTCCCTCTAAGCTTTGGAGTCTTGTGAGCAAAAATTCTACTTTGTGAGCTACTAGCATTAAAGTTGTGAGCGAGCAATTTGGCTACTGCATAAATTAGTTTGCTCTGGAGCCCTCCTTCCCGAGCTAAGACAAAAATGTGTGAGCCGGAGGCTATAAAACTGTGAGCTAGCTCACCCTAACTCAGCTTAGAGGGAACACTGCCCGTAAGTGACTTGGAGATGGTCCAGTTATTTAGCTTGCAGATCCTCTCTTGAAAAACCACATACCAGAACATCTCTCCTAATTCTGAATAAATACCTGGATGGAAAGTCATCCCTTTGGGTCGATTACCTAAGAGCATTTAAAAAGTTGCCAGGGCCTATCCAGTCCAGCATTTTATCTCAGAGGTCAACCCAGATGCCTTCAGATAGCCACACAAGCAAGGCTGCTTGTCCCTAGCATCTGGTACTCAAATGTATCCTGCCTCCGTACATGGAGGCTACACTTAGCTTACCTTGGAGTTGAGGTCCCTGTGGTATATGTTCTTGGAGTGTAAGTAAACCATCCCACGTGTGATGTCTGAAGCCAGGTCCACTTTCTCTTTCCAGCTGAGAGAGACATCCTTGCAAGCCAAAAGCTCTTCCAGGACTCCTCCATTCACATACTGCACAGAAAGGAGGCAAGATGGTACCTATTGCCAATCCATAAGACGTGAGGGAAGGAAGGGGTTTGTTGGGCTATGGCCTCCCATGAACAGCAAAGAGTGGACTAAAGAGCAGACTAGAGCCCTAGTTCTCACAAACAGCAGGTGAGACCTTGTATGACTGATTGCTTTCCTATCCTCTGTGCCCCCAATCTCCCTGCAAAAGGAGCACCAGCACATCAAGAGAAGAGTTCTAGCCTAGGTTTCTCTCCAACATGATAGCTTTTTACGTCTGGAGGAGCATTCCAACATGCGAACCCCCCCCCAACTGAAGACTGTAGGGGTACGGTCCAGATGAGGGTTGCCAGCTCCACCTTGGGGAATTCCTGAAGACGTGGGGGCTGTGCCTGGAGACAGCAGAGTGATCAGCAGGGATGTGATGCTATAGAGTCTACCCTCTGAATCTGCCATTCCCTTCAGGGAAACTGATTTCTATAGACTGCAGTTGGGGTTCCTAGAGAACTCCAGGTCTTGTGTGGATGTTGGTCATCCCGTGTCTGGACTACAGGTACGGACACATCTGCTCCCTGCCCCCTGAGAACCAAGACAACCATTCAACATTAGTGGAAATCCAAGTACTATCAGAAATAAACCCTTCAGCCAATGCTTACTCAGAAAATTGCAGATGGCCTAAAAAACTGCAGCTGCAGTATCCATCCTGGAATCAGGGGAGGAGGGCAGGGAAGAACGCTTATGTCTTTACACTCACATGATCAGTTTTCAACGATCTGAAGAGCAATTGTGTAAAGTCATTCCTTACCTCCAGAATTGGATACAACTTATCATCCTTCACACAGATGCCAAGATACCTGCAGAAAGAGAGAGAACAATTCAAGGACGCTCTCTGCAGCCCAATGTTAGCACAAGGCTCAAAAACCAAACCCAGATGACCACACCCACTCCCAGCCTCAAGACAACTTCTGCACTGACACCTCCCTGCTGCAGTTCTTGGCATGTCCATTGTGTTCCCTGGACTGAGGTTTTTTAAAAAGGGGGGGGACCAAAGATGCCCGTGCTCCTACAAATGCTGCTTATATGGCTAGACCATCAAAAACAAGGTGGTGGGGCAGAGAGAGAAGAAACCGGGCCAGCGTTACCATTAAGCAGGAGGAATCAACAGCAGATTTTGGCATACAATTACAAGGGAAGTTATCAATTATTTAGTTCACTGTATATATATTTTTTCACAGGCACTGCAAAGGGAGGCCCATTTGGATTTCTGCCTTAAGCACGGATGGTTGTTGGGTTGTTTCCTGGTATAGGTCCGAGGACAGTGAGAAGAATCCACTTGCAAGGAATGGTGAATAGGTAGCCATGCACATACTGAGATTATTTAAGTAAAGGAAACAAAAGAAACATTGATGTGGGACAGAAAGGAAAAAATGGCCAGGGGAAGAGAATGCTAAGGTTTGTTCAATGAGGAACCCAGAGGTAGGTAGGATCACCAGTGGTACAAGACGCAGGAAGTATCAGTATCACCTGCTTGGAAGTCAGGTGATATAGATCTACACTTGAAAGCTCAGCCTCTATTTATTTATTCAGTACATTTGTATCTTTGCCCTTCCCCCAATGAGCTCAGGGCTTTCCCCCTCCTCTATTTTATCCTTACCCTGTGAAGAAAGTTATGCTGAGAGTCGGGCTGGCGCAGGCTTATCCAATGCATCTGATAGCAGAGTGGGGATTTCAGCCTGGGTCTCCTAGATCCCAGTCCGACACTCCAATGACTGCACCATGCTGGGCATTGAACTGAGCACTGATATGCTCTTTCAGGTCATCTCCCACCTAAAGACTCACCTGACAATGTTGGGATGGGAGAGCTTCTGCAGCAAGCTAATCTCACGCACAATCACCTCCTGGTCCACATCATTCTTGTAGATCTTCACCACCATCGCTTTGCCACCGGCACTGTGGGTGACCTGAGGGCACCACAAGACAGTGGCGTGAGCACAGGTGACGGCCCAGTCTGACTAAGTTAAAGACACACTGAAACAATTCAAAACTCTCTCCACTTTTACATTTGCACAGCGAAGCATATGAACTGTCCCTCACAGGTCACCTCCGGTGCATAACAAGTGCTTTTAGGTAACCAGGCAAGAAACATGGTTGTAAACTGAGTCTTTCACAAATGTCAAAGTAGTCTGGAAAATTTGTTAAGCCACTATTTTGACAGAACCGTAACTCTGTGGATTGTATTAGGCAGCACACGCGGTGTGCCGGGAAAGGATATTTCACCTCTGGAGGCTGCATTATTCTTCTAGAGAAGCTGTAGCAGCACCAAACACCAGGGAGAGAACTTTCTGTCATCCACACTACTCAGTGTGTCTTTGTCAGCCACCATGGCTGACAGGAAGACCTGGAACCACAGACCGAGCAGCTGCTTAAGTGAGGGGAAGACTTGCCTCCAAGGAACAACAGCATCAAGTACTACCGGGCCCTGTTTTCCATTTCTAGGGATGGCAGCAGCAGAGGGATGATGTCAAAGGTAAAGGTAAAGGTTCCCTTGCTCGAAAGCCAGTCGAATCCGACTCTAGGGTTGCGGTGCTCATCTCCGTTTCAAAGCCGAAGAGCCAGCGCTGTCCGAAGACGTTTCCGTGGTCATGTGGCCGGCATGACTAAACACCAAGGTGCACGGAACGCTGTTACCTTCCCACTGAAGTGGTACCTACTTATCTACTTGCAATTTCTTGCTTTCGAACTGCTAGGTTGGCAGGAGCTGGAACTAGAGACGGGAGCTCACTCTGTCATGCAGTACACTCGGGTCTCGAACTGCTGAACTACCGACCTTCCACAGCCTGCTGTTCAGCATCTTAACCACTTGAGCCACCGCAGCTCAAAAGAGAGGCCTAAAAGATACCATCCCCTTGGGGTCATTTCTTGGGACTGAAGTGAGGGCAGTATCCTGTTTTCTATTTATGTAAGGCTGAAAGGGAAAGCAGGAGGGTTTAGGGTGCTAATTGCTGCTACTTCTTGCTTCCCCTCCCCAATTTTGTCTCTGCAACGCTGACTGCAAGCACTCTAATCAGTGGGAAGGGCTGCTCACTGCACAACACTTTGCCCTGCACTGGAGCTAAATAAATATTACAACAGTAGAAGGATCTCTTGACCCCAACACCATTCAAAGGATACAGTCTCCTTGAAGTCTGGTTCTCAGCCTAGCAGTTCTACTTAAATTAAAAATTGACTGGTACAAGTTGGGTTGTCCTCCTGACGTTACTGTCAAGCTACTAGGAAGAATAGAGGCTAATTGTTTAATGTTTCTGTAACCACCAGCACTGCTGCCTCCTACGCCAAGATGTTTGCCTGAAATGATAAAAACCATTTAAACAAACCAAGGGCCACCCTAACAACGCAACTGCATCTCACAGGTAGGCAAGATACACCAATGGACCCAGAGCACATGAAAGGGGGGGGGATGTAATACAAGATCAGTGACGCATTAATGCAAATGAAGATCAGAGCTGCAGTCTCTCTTTACCTGAGTCAAAGGGGCTGCAAGAAAGTTCTGATCTTAGAAAATTTAACCTGCAACACTGGAGGTGAAGGACACTAATATAAAAGTGTGCTCTCCTGGAAGAAACTGACATTAAGGTCCTTTCTGCACTTGGATCTCATCCCTGGTTTTATCAGAGTTCAACTTGCAACACTACCTTGTATTTATCCCTGGTTATAACAGCATCCGTTTATCCCAGGACAAGTGTGGGGTGAAACCGAGGTGACCTCAATGTAATATGGAAACAAAAAATACCCCGAGATAATTACAAGGATGAACGTAAGTTCGGGGGCAGGATTGAACCAGGATTTAAGGTCTAGTGCAGAAAGGACCTAAGTGTGGTTTAATATCAGTGGCCCCACCCCAGCATATAAAAAGGCATTCTCCTAGGTAAGTAAGAATTGCCCAGAATCCAGGAACTTTTCTAACTGGAAGAGTTGATTATTTCCATATAACAGAATCAGCATGGGGTAGAGGCTAGAGTGTTAGAAGAGGGAGGCCCTGGTCTGATCTATCATGAAGGTCAGTCTCACCCTCTCTTGCTCACGTCACAGGATTGCTATAAGGATAAAAGGAGAGGAGAACTAGGTGTGCTGCCCTGCACTCCTTGGAAAAAGACTGGGATACAAATGGGACATAGACAGATCTCGAACTATTGGCATTCCACAAATTCTAACTTAGGTCTGGTCTAGATGACACAGTCATCATAGGGACATGTCTGTTTGTGCATGATGTATTTGTGACTTTATAAGAATTGCCACAGGCATTTTTAGGGCTGCCTATTCTGGCTCAGGAAACCCCTGAAGATTTGGTGGTGGTGCCTGGGGAGGGCAGAGTTTGGGGAGGAGAGGGAGTTCAGTGGGGACATGATGCCATACAACTGCCACTTCCTCCAGGGAAACTGGTCTCTGTAGTCTGGGGAACTGCAGTAATTCCAGAAGAACTCCAGGCCAGACCTTGAGGTTGGTAAGCCTAAGCATTAGGTGGGTTGAGTTGATAACTTGCACCTCAGAAATGCACTTTAACAACTATGAGGACTTCATGCGATCTTTTCTGCTTGTAGCAATAAGAACGTTTGCATTACACTCTCAGGAAAGGAAGAAGAGGAGGAGGAGATTGGATTTATACCCCACCCTTCACTACCTGAAGACGTCTCAGAGTGGCTTACAATCCCTTTCCCTTCCCCTCCCCACAACAGACACTTCTAACCACTACACCAAACTGGCTCTGCTGGTCATCGGATTCTCATTCTAAACCCTGGGGGGAAAATGGAGGCTATCTAGTCATCTGTGTATGATTCCCAACCTCAAGATGGTAGTTGGAGATCTCCCACTATTACAACCAGCCCCGTAGCTAGGGATTTTGGGGGGAGGGGGCCTTGGCTCACACAATTTTATCTTAGCTCAGGAAGGATGGCTTCAGAGCAAACTAATTTATGCAGTGGCCAAATCACCTGCTCCCAACTTTTATGCCAGTAGCTCACAAAGTAGAATTTTTGCTCACAGGACTCCACAGCTTAGAGGGAGCATTGCTTGTGACATTGGGGGGGGGGGTCCAATTTTTTTTAAATTTATGCAGTTGCCCTATCGCAGCTGTACAGTAGCATCCAGCAAGAACCTTCCATTTAAATCCTTGTGGTTCAGTTTTTACGGGTGCATTTTAGTGTTAATTCATTGAATGAAAGGGAAAACAAAGAAAGGAAAGCAAAGGGGAAAAATGATGTTGAAACTGACAAGACTATTTTTGAAACTGACAAAAACATCTGGGAAACCCCATTTTCCATACTGCCAAGCACTAGGGGATTCTCTGCTGTGTTACTGGCCACTGTGAAAAATGGGAGTCACATGATCTCATACTAATGGGGAACATGATGATTGTACAGAATGCAGAACTCAATGGCACTGGAACTGCAAGCTTTGATCATTGGCAATGTGTGTGTGTGCACACGCCTGTGCAAAATTGGCTGCAATTCCACCACTATTTGCACAGGTCTGCAATTTGTATGGGGGGGAGTCCTTTGGCAGAAGCTCTGTTTCGTCTCGTGCCACTAAACTGAAAAAAAAAGTATTTTCACTGATGACTTAGCGCAGCTGCACAGTAATGCCAATTTCCTGCCCTCCCTTGCAGACATGTATGGTTTTTTATTTATGATTCTCTAATTTGATCCTACACACTTTTGCAATCTTGGCAGTTTTTAAAAGCCTCTCCTGTGTCCTCCAAATGGATCAATTCCAAGCAATTCTTAAGTTTGGCGGGTTGCAGAAGGTTCATGTGGCTTAGCTGCCATTTTTAATGTTAAGCTTCTGGAGACTGCCAAAATGGTTCCCCTGCCTCAAACTTTGTTCACTAAAGCATTAAAGGGGAAAATGTTTTCAAAGCTTTAGGCTTCTCTTTATATCTCATGTCAATGTCATTCTGAGCTGACACCCCCCCTTTATTTTGTTTGCATGCAGCACAGAAAACCAATTATTTTTTTTGTACTGTGGATGCTGCCATTTGTCTCCTCTCTGATCCCCCTTTCAAGTCAATGCCAGCAGGGAACTAAACTTTGCACAACAGGGAACTAAACTTTTAAACTTTCCCCTATTGTTTTAAATTCAGCAGTCTAAGATTAGTCATTCCTACCCATCTAACTATCTCCAGCACTGTAGACAAAAGCCCAAATCTCGCACAATTTTTTTATTTCCCCCGTCATTTTAATTTCTTTTTATTCAGCAATACAAGAATAGCAATAGTCTCATATTGCTAGACTCATACCACTTCTCAAAAAAAAATTAAAACAAGGAGGGAAAAGTTTATCAATGGAACTCGTACGCCAATGAAGGGGGGAGGATGGCAGAAGGTGCAGAGAGGGCGCAACAACCTCAATGTGAGCAGGGAAGTCGGCTTTGAGGGGTGGCGAAAAGTGGGGGGGGGGGAGTCCAAGGGAATCTCTGCGCTTTTGAATTACCTTTGGCTCGGAATCGAAACAAGGACAATTTTGGCACAGAAAACTTGGGGAAACAGTGACCGGAAAGTGAACTGAGCACTGAAGAGAGGAAAATCAATGCAGAACAAAAAAGAAAACCCGATGGACGTGCACAGAGAAAACAAGGGGAAACACCTGTGTGTAATAGGCCTATGGTTCTCCTCTCAAAGTAACGGCTGTTACACTTTCCTTTATGAAGTCTGTAATGACTTCAAGAATATGGAATCTTTGATAGGGTAAGATGAGAAACGTAAGGCAATGGATTTAAAAAAAAATCCTTTACACCATGCAATGCAGATAATATCTGCAATGATCAACATGCATGGTAAGTATTTTTTGACAGACATTGTGTTACCTCATATAACATGGTACGGTTTATCAGGTGGACCATACCTTAGGCAACAGTGAGCAGGTGAGTGACTTTTTTTTTGGGGGGGGGGGAGATGCATGTGTAATTT